GAATCACTTGAACCTGGGAGGTGGAGCTGAGATTGCACCACTGCACTCCAGCCTGGGTGACAGAGCAAGACTCCATCTCAAAAAAAAAAAAAAAAAGAAAAAAAGGAAAGACAGAAAATGAAAAATGAAACTTTATCAAAATTTAAAACTGTTTTTGCATCAAAGGACATTAGTAAGAGAGTGGAAAGAAAAGCATAGAATGGGAAGAGTTCCACCTTTTGGCTACTGAGAATAATGCTGCTATGAGCCCGAGAGTACAAATCTCTGTTTGAGCTCCTGAGTACCTGCTTCCCATTCTTTTTGCATCCACTTTGTGTCTGTTTCCTCATCCCAATTATATATCTGATGAGGAATTAGCATTCAAAATACATAAAAACTACAACTCATCAATTAAAAAAACCCATTCAAAAGTGAGGAATGGACATGAAGAGACAAGTCACCAAAGAAGAAACACAAATGGGCAATAGACTCATGAAACAACTCAGTTTCACTAGGCTGACTGTTGGCGAGGAGGTGGAGAAACTGAATCCTTGTACACCGCTGGTGGGAAAGTACAATGTGGCAGCCACCATGGAAAACAGTATAGTAATTCCTCAAGAAAGTAACAATGGGATTACCATGTGACCCAGCAATTCCGCTTCTTGCCTTATACCAAAAAGAGTTTAAAGCAGGTACTCGGCCGGGTGCGGTGGCTCAAGCCTGTAATCCCAGCACTTTGGGAGGCCGAGACGGGTGGATCACGAGGTTAAGAGATCGAGACCATTCTGGTCAACATGGTGAAACCCCGTCTCTACTAAAAATACAAAAAATTAGCTGGGCATGGTGGCGCGTGCCTGTAATCCCAGCTACGCGGGAGGCTGAGGCAGGAGAATTGCCTGAACCCAGGAGATGAAGGTTGCGGTGAGCCGAGATCGCGCCATCGCGCTCCAGCCTGGGTAACAAGAGCGAAACTCCGTCTCAAAAAAAAAAAAAAGCAGGTACTCAGGGACTCAAACAGATGTTTGTACACTCGGGCTCATAGCGGCATTATTTTCAATAGCCAAAAGGTGGAAGCTAGCCAAGTATCCATAGATGGAAGAATGGACTAAGAAATATGGTACATACACATGGACTATTACTCAGCCTTAAAATGAGTAAAATTCTGACACATGCTACGACATGGATGAATCTTGAAAACATTATGATCAGTGAAATAAGCCAGAAACAAAAGGACAAAAATTAAATGATTTCACCTACAGAGAACAGGCAAATTCATAGAAACAGAAAGTAAATGGAAGTACCAGGGGCTGAGGGTGGGGAGACTGTAGAGTTATTTTAATGGGCAGAGAGTTCCTTCTTGGGATGATGACAAAGTTCTGGAAATGGATATTTGTGGTGGTGGCTTTAGAATACTTACAATGTTGTGCTTTGTAAACACACTTACAAAAATGTGCTTAACACCAATGAATTGTACCCTCAAAAATGGTTAAAAAGTAAATTTTATGCTGTGTATGTTTAACCAAAATTAAAAACAAATATCAACAGTAAACCCAATCACTTCTCATTCCTCTATGGCCTCCACCCCAGAACCATCCTCCCTAGGATAGTAAACAGGAAGGGCCTTCCAGCTGCGCTGCCTGCTGCCTCTTACACCACTGCCATTACCCACACAACAAAGGCACAGTGAGCTTTTCAAATGGGAATTAGAGCAGATCTTCACCACCACATCCCACAGATACTCCAGCTTCTTCCCTTCTTGGCACAATGAAACTCCAATCTCTCACCATTTCGTACAAGCCCCTCAACACAGGGCCCCTCTGGCGACTGTGGCCTCATCCCACCCCTCTCAGCAACAGCTCACTCATCTCCACTCACAGCAGCCTCTTGTCACTGCTCTGTCCTGTCCCTGCCACCTGCCCCTGCTGTGACTCCCACATGTACCTGCTCCCCAGGGATCCACATGGCTCATTCCTCACATGATTCAGGTCTCTGTTCAAATAACCAGCGGTCAAGTTCTCAGAAATATCTTGTTCAATGACCTTGTCTAAACTATATCCCCTGCTATTCCCACCACCACCAATCTTCTGGCCTAGGCATATTTTTCTCAATGGCAATTATCAGTAATACCAGATTTTATTTGGTTACTGCCCATTGGTGTATCAGGGTTCCCCAGAGAGACATGACCCGCTGGCTAGATAGATAGACCATAGAGGGAAGAGAGAGGATTTATTAGTGGAACTGGATTACACAATTATGGAGGCTGTGAAGTCCCATCATAAGCCATTGGGAACCTGAAGAACCAGGGAAGGCAGTAGCATAGTAAGTGGGTAAGCGGGGGCCCGTGGTGCAAGTGTCAGAGTCTGAAACCATAGAACCTGGAGTTCTGATGCCCAAGAGCAGGAGAAGAAGGGTGTCCCGGCTCCGGAGCAAAAAAGTCAATGAGACTTTCCTCTGCTTTTTTGTTCAATTTGCAACCCCAGGTGATTGGATGATGCCTTCCTATGTTGAGAGAGGATCTTCCCCACTCAGTCCACCAACTCATACATCAATCTCCTCCAGAAGCACCCTCACAGATGCACCAACCAATAATGTATTACCAGCTGTCTACAGATCCCTTAATCCAGCCACGTCGACACCTAAAATTAACCATCACAGTAACTATTGCTGAAATATATGTTCTTTGAACAAGGAATCTTGTCCCTCTATCCCCAATGTCATAATTAGTAAAGAATTAGGGTTCAATAGTACATCAGCACAACAATTTAGAGACCAGGTTGATAATGTGTATGAAAAGCCTTTAACATGTTTAGTCTTTGGCCTAATATTTATCATTTGAGTAATCTATGAATATTTTCAAATTCCAAACATAGAAGAACCTTTATGTACAAATATGCTCTCAAAACATTGTTTAGAACAAGATACGATGAAAGCAGATGGATCCAAGAGAAGTTGAGTTATGTCTCCTTGTTCGAAGTGAGATGTAGCTTGTGAAAGTGTTCAAACTTTATGCAGACTTTATCACACGCAAACTACTTGTGTAATAATACACTCAACAAGAACCATTCAAGACAACCCATAACACATGAATGCAACTTTGTAAATTGAAAGCATATATAAAAATATGAGGATGAAACTCTGATTTATTAATCTTGCCCAAATTCCTATCTAAGGGGTCTGGGGAGTCATGCCCTACAAACCATACATTCTCATCAGATGGGTTTTATTTAACCCTCTATATTGTGACTTAGTTTCTAACCTGCCTCTGGCATAACATTGTGAGACAAGGAAGAAAATAAAATTTTTTTACCCTCAAAACATGTTCCTTTGTCACATTTTGAAATGGCCCTGCAAACTGTCCTTTGTGGGAGAAAATTCACATCTGCAAAGAATCCCTATTAACATAGCTAGACTGGCTGGGCATGGTGACTCACGCCTGTAATCCCAGCAATTTTGGAGGCGGAGGCAGGTGGAATACCTGAGGTCAGGAGTTCAAGACCAGCCCGAGCAACATAGTGAAACCCCATCTCTGCAAAAATACAAAAATTAGCCGGGCATGATTCCACATGTCTGTAATCCCAGCTACTTGGGAGGCTGAGGCAAGAGAATTACTTGAACCCTTGAGGCAGAGGTTGCAGTGAGCCGATATCGTGCCATTGTACTTCAGCCTGGATGAGACTCCATCTCAAAAAAACAAAAAGCAACAAACGAAAAAACAAAACATAGTTAGATTATTTCCTTCCAGGCCCCTTCACTTCCGAATAGATTAACTGAGAGTCTAGCACCTTTTAAAATGTCTGAATAGGAAACATTTGTCATTTATTGTCTCTAAGAGCAGCAGCTGTGAGACTTCAAAAGAACCTTGGTCTCTACAATCTGTTATATAACTTGAACATTTCCTTTCTTTTTTTTTCTTAAATTTGAGATGGAGTCTTGCTCTGCCACCCAGGCTGGAGTGCAGTGGTGCCATCTTGGCTCACTGCAACCTCTACCTCCATGGTTCGAGCAATTCTCCTGCCTCAGCCTTCCTGGGCTTACAGGGATGCACCACCACGTCCAGCTAATTTTTGTACGTTTGTAGAGGTGTGGTTTCACCACGTTGGCCAGCCTGGTTTCAAACTCCCGACCTCAAGTAATCTTCCGGCCTCAGCCTCCCAAAGTGCTGGTATTACAGACATGAGCCACACACCCGGCTGAACATTTCTTTTCTATCGATCCAAGGTCCTTAGCAAAAACTCGATTGTCTACCAGAAAGTGTTCAAATTTACCTATAACCTGGAAGCCCACTCCCCACCTGCTTTAAGTGGTCCCATCTTTCTGGAAGAAACCAATGTATTCCTTAAATGTATTTGATGGATGTCTCATGCCTCCCTAAAATGTATAAAACCAAACTGCACAGCAACCGTCTTGGGCACATGTTCTCACGACCTCCTGAGGGCTGTGTCATGGGCCATGGTCATTCACATTTGGCTCAGAATAAATATCTTTAAATATTTTCCAGAATTTGACTCTTTTTGTCAACATTATATATACATAGAAAACAACAGAATGAAAATCAGCACCATTGTATAGGACAGCTCCAGGGACCACCACTCACACTGCAGTCTAAGAAAGTTCAGTAACATGGTTGCTGGGATTTTCTAAGTGGAGATTTAAGTGGTATTTGTATCTTTCTTCTGACCATTTTCAGGTCTTCTGTGACCAAATAGATTCTGAGTCTTATACTCTAAAAAATCATACATTTTTAACATTCAAAATAAAATAGTTGAAGTAAAATAACAATAAGTGGCCGGGGTGGTGGTGCATGGCTGTAGTCCCAGCTATTTGGGAGGCTGAGGCAGGAAGATGGTTTCCACCGGGAGGTTGAAGCTGCAGTATGTTATGATCATGCCTGGGAATAGCTACTGCTCTCCAGCCTGGACAATATAGCAAGGCCCATCTGTAAGGTAATAATAATAATAAAAGCAAGTCCAGATCTCCTTCCTACACCTTCCTAAAGCAAATTTCTCATTTGCAATCCACAGGGCAGAAATGCATATTGATGAGTCCGTCAGAGAGAAGAAATGAATTCTTCCTCCACACTCTACGGTACATTCTTTCATTATGGAGTACAGCTGAGCAATCAACGCAACACTAAGAATGCCATCAACTTATAGATTACTATTTAAATATATATAATTCCCACCATACCTGAGAGAGGGAGATGGATTTTTTCCTCCCACAGATGAAAAGCTGAGTCACCAAGAACCTGAAGAGTTGGTCTGGGATTGCTGAAAATGTTGGCCTTGAAACTTAGGGGACACTCAGCCTCCTGCAGGTCCACCTGGGCATAAACCGCATCAGTGGAGACTCCACAACAGCAGAAGGAGCAGTTGAGATCTCGGAACGTTCCCACTTGTAGAGAGTCCACACCCAGTGGAATACAGCTGAAGGATGGGCCAATATTAGAGTTCAGCTTTTTCCTTCAGCTGGGGAGGAAGTTGAGGGGGTCAGTCAACTACATGTGTCATGTGTGGTGGAACTTAGAGCTACTGTTAGTTCCTCTGCTGAGAACTTTACCCTTCAGAGAAAAGACTCTATACTCACTGGTAAGCAATTCTTTCCAGAGTTGCAGATTCTTTTTAGAAATGCAAAAAAGCAATTATTTTTAGAAATGCAAATATGACTTCCCTAACATTAATGTCAACTATTGACCCTCTTACTCATCATCTTAATTAAGTAGTCTCCTAACTCCCACTGAAATTAGCCCCAGAGTTGCATCTGAGCATTTGGATCCAAGACAGGAAGTCATTTTGGGGTTTGGACCTGGCTGATCCAGGACTGTCTCCTAAAAGGAGGCTTTTTACTTGCAGAGGAGCAAGGGTGAGCTCTGTTTGGAGGAGAAAAGACAGGGACAGATTCCCAAGAAAACTCAGGAGCTTACCATGCAAAAGATTTTGGAATATATATTTCAACTTGTCAGCACTTAATTGTTGGTCAACCCAATGAGACCATCTGCTGGTGCAGTGTGGGTAACACCCCCATGGGCACCAAGGAAGGAGAACTGTCCAGACTGCAGGCACAACTAGTGCCTGAAGAATATCTTAGTTTATAGTGTTATTGCTCAGCTGTCTCCTTATCCTTCATATATAATCCTATATTAGTTTATAGAATTAGTGCTTGAAGTCTAACTTACTGCTTACATATATCTAGCATACTTAGTTTTATATAATCTTTCTATATATTCATATAGGTATTGTGGTCGGAGCTGTACTGACACATTTAGTGCTGATTTATAGAATCCTTCTATATAACCATAGAGGAGTTTGTAGTAGGAGGAATGTCTAGAGCAGTCACAGAACAGAAGCAGTACATGGGAAAACAGCCAGACCAGGACGAGAACCAAATATCCAGGCGGTGGCGTCCCTGCCTGGAAGGGCATACGCTGTATGGCAGGCTTGGAGCAAGAGCCTCTCCTCCTGATAAAGGAGTTGTAGTACCTGCATCCAGTTCCTGTGGAAAGTAGGCCTCAAGGCTGAGATCCTGGAAGTAACCGAGGGAGAAGAATCCCTCTGGTGTGACCAGTCATGGCGGCTGTACACCCTGTCAGTCTTTTCTCGCTTCCGTGCTAGCTCAAATAATCCTCCCATAAATATCTTAAGAGAAGAGCACAAGTCTGTCAGCTCCCACTGCATTAAGCTTAAGTATCCTTCTATTAGAAATCCTTTCAAGTCGCCAGCCCCCAGGTAAGAAGTGTTGCGGTTGGACTTGGAAGAGCAAGGAGTGTTGGGAATGCAACCAAGCAGCTGGCGCAGCAGCTTAGATTAATTAGGAGAAAGTCAGTTGCATCAGCAAATGGGAACCTAGGAAGAAGCAAATCCAAGCAGTTGCTTGACTACTTAATTGTCATTGATTTTGAATCGACATGCTGGAATGATGGGAAATGCCACCATAGCCGGGAAGTAACTGAATTTCCAGCAGTGTTGCTGAACACATCAACTGGACAGATTGAGTCTGAGTTCAGTGCTTATGTTCAACCTCAGGAACATCCCGTTCTTTCAGAATTTTGCATGGAATTGACAGGCATAAAGCAGGCTCAAGTTGATGAAGGAGTCCCTCTGAAGATTTGCTTATCTCAGTTCTGTAAATGGATTCATAAGATTCAGCAACAGAAGAAGAACCTTATTTTTGCTGCTGGGGTTTCAGAGCCTTCTACTTCTGAAGTAAACGCTTATACATTTGTTACGTGGTCAGACTGGGACTTGGGGGTGTGACTGGAGTATGAGTGTAAAAGAAAGCAGCTGTTAAAACCAGTGTTTTTAAATTCTTGGATTGATCTCAGAGAAACTTACAAGCTTTTCTATAGGAGAAAACCAGAAGGACTAAGTGATGCCTTGCAGGAAGGGGGAGTAGAATTCTCAGGACGAGATCATTCTGGGTTGGACGATTCTCAGAATACTGCCCTTCTTGCTTGGAAAATGGTCAGGGATGGCTGTCTAGTGAAAATTACAAGGTCGTTGAACAAGGTTCCCACTAAGAAGAATTCCAGCATTCTGGCCAGAAATTTGGATACAAATCAAGTTGAAGAAATGTCTGCCTGTAACAGCATCCGGGGTCCTAGCATCTATAATAAGGAGCCTAAAAAATACAATAAATTCTATGAAAAAGTTCAAATGAAGTCAGTTTGTGCAAATTTTCCTATAAAGACACAGAAGGATCAATTACAAGTAAAGAACAATATAAAAACAGGTTTTCACAGTGTCAAAAGTTGCTTATCTATTGTTAATTCTAAGCCCTCTACTTCTCTGGGACATTTGCAGTCTCCTACCTTGAATTCACCTATCTACATGCAAAAGCAAGGAAAAAAATGAACATCTTGCTTTTAATACCAAATCTAAGTCTTCAACAGTTGGTTCAGAATTGGTGCTTGTTTCTACCAGCATTCTGACTGTTAATCATGTTTCTGATATGGAAATGAGCTCTACTCTTGTTTACCTATGTTGGCTGATTGGGAGGATGTGGTTTTACTGCCAGCATCTCAGCCTGAGAAAACCATAGAGTGTACAGTTCCCATTAGTGATTCAGATTTAGAGATTTCATTTAATTCTGGAGAAAGATTAATGGTTCTGAAAGAATCAGAAATGCCAAGTCATGAGAACTTGGGAGACATGGAGGAAACTCTCCAAAAATCTGAGACTTCTAAGTCTATTGTATACAAGAGTCCTCACACTACTACTTATAATGTAAAAGAAGCCAAAGATCCGGGTTCAGATGTTTCTGCCTTTAAGTTACCTGAACACAAATCAAGTACGTGCAACAGAGTTAATGCCAATATGTCTCATCCTTTAGTTTTGGGGAAACATCCTTTTCTTCCAGGTGGTACCAAAAGGAATCCATACAGTCCTCAAGCTTTCCCACCAGCAAAAAAACACCCTTCAGTATTCATGAAGAAAAGCCTACGTCATCTGATTGCTCTCCGGTAAGAAGTTCCCGGAAGCTTTCGCCATCTGTATTAACTTCTATAGTTAACCTACAAGAGCCTTGGAAGAGTGGGAAAATGACAGCTCCCTTATGCAAGTGTGGGCGAAGGTCTAGGAGACTTGTTGTTTCTAATAATGGATCGAACCATGGAAAAGTCTTCTATTGTTGTCCTATTGGGAAATACCAAGAAAACAGAAAATGTGGTTATTTCAAATGGGAACGAACACTTCAAAAGGAAAGAGCCAACAGCATAGTTCCATTTCATTCTACAGGGGGACTCACTTTTAATTCTCCAGAAACAAGCCATCTTCGTGACCGAAATGTAAGTATTTCCACCAAAAATTCCTTGAGACTCAGGCCTTCAATGAAGAATTGATAATCTTTCATGTATGAATTCTAATTGTTTTTTGAATTTCCAAACATGAGTATTCTGATAACATCTTACACTATTTTATATATTAATGTTTACTGAATTCATCACACTTTCTTCAGGAACCACAAATATCATCTTTTGTTAACAGTATTTATTAGATTACATATAATAAGCAACAATAATATATGATCCTTCTTTTAAAGTTAGACCTTGAAGCAAGTCTTAAACTATATTTAAATTATGTGCAGGAAAATGTGACTAATAAAAATCCCTAGTCTATTTTCAGTTAGATACATGTACTTTAGAATTATCATCATCTTCTAACAGGTATTTTGTATTTTTCTAAAAACATTGATAAGTTCTTTAGTTTTATTTCACAGCTCGAACATTGATTCTGATTTGTATATCAACATATCAGAAGAATTAGTCAACTGAAGTTTGAAAACGTATGTAGCAGAGATTTGGTTCAGAAACTGCTTCTATACTATACATTTAAAAATTAATCAAGGTCTCCATTGTTGCGTCTCCTCTGCGCCAGCAACTCCTAGGTGAGGCTACCACAGACCCTGTCAGCCTGTGACTTGCAGGAACTGGGAGATCCCTAGGGAGGACCCCGGAACCTTCAGAGGCTGGAAAACGGGTGATGTGTCCTCAGCCACTCTTCCGTATTTTCCTGGTTCTGGGTTTTACAACTGTCTGGGGATGACCCAAGATGCTCACAGTGGCCCTGTCTCTTGGAGTGTCTGATTCCCACTGAAAAATTATTGTGTGAACTTATTACAAGCAGGGTTCCTGTGTTGCACTGAGACTGGTGGGCTGTGCACAGAGTGGCCACAAAGTTACCTTGAGCAATTTGAATTTGAGCATGCCACTGCCTCAGTTTGATGGCACCAGCAATCCTCTGATGGTCACGCCACCTTTGGCAGAGGCCCACTGGGTTGTGAGGGCAAGGGACTCTGAGAAATACTTCTTTCTTTTGTCAGAGCCTTCTCTTTATTCTGCATCCAGCATGTAATAAGCCAAGAAAAGTCATCACCATGAATTTATGATGTGCAACGTTACAAACGTTCCTTTTGAGGCTTTTGAACATGGGAAGTTGTGGATGCCCAAGATTCCTGTTAGAGATGGGATGAGGTCCTTGGATATCAGTGAGGAAAAAGGCAATGAAATGTTGACATTCAGGGATGTGGCCATAGGATTCTGTCCAGAAGAGTGGGAATGACTTGATTCTTCTCAGCAACATTTGTATAGGGATGTGATGTTAGACAACTACAGAAACCTGGTGTTCCTGGGTCTTGGTGACTCCAAGCCAGAATTAATTACCCATCTGGAGCAAGGAAAAGATCCTTGGAATGTGAAGAGACAGGAGACAGTAGTCAAACACCCAGAGGAGCCAAGATGGCTGAATGGACAAAACATGAGTGCCAACACCCAGCGAGAGAGATGCAGAAATCCTGAGATCTCCTAGCTCCAACCGAGGTTTTGGGTTTCAGATGAAGAGCTTCATCATCCTGACAAGAGTCTGCACAGAAATCAGCTTGGCCTCCTTGTGGTGTGGATGCTTCTCACTCTCTATTACTATTTTTAAGATTTTTTTTTTGTCTTCAACTTTTGAAAATTTGATAGTAATATGTCTTTGTGTGGTCTTTGAATATAAACAATTTTGAGCTCAGTTATATTTTTGGATGTGTAGATTCATCACTTTTATGTTTAGAAGTTTTTCAGCCATTCTTCCTTGAAATTTTTTTTTTTGACCTTTTCCCTCTCTCCCTATTCTTCCTGGAGTTTCCATAGTACTTATGATGGCAATGTAGTGACTTTTCATTAATATCTTAGACCCTTCTAATTTTCCTTAATTGTCTTAGTCAGTCTAAATAATTAAAATGGAACAACCTTAAACTTTGCTAATTGTTTTTATTTCAGTGATTTTAATATTTGACCTTAGAGTTTTTAATTTTATAATTATCTTTTGATACTTTCTATTTGATGAGACATCATTTTCCATTTTTTCTTTTTTATGTTTTACTCTCTTTTTCAGTATATTTAAATTCATTGATTTAAGGAGTTTTTAATGTCTTTAAATGTCTAGGATACCTCTCGGACTGTTTCAGTTTATTATCTTGTTAATGAGTGATATATTTTGGCCTGCCCTATGTTTTGCTATTTTTAAAACTGTACATTTTGATATTATAATATGGTAACTTTAAAATCATATTAATTAAAAAATTAATCAATAATTGATGACTTTTTATATTAAGAAGTGATAGGAACATTGACAGTAATGCAGAGGAATCTACCAAACATATTATTTCAAAATTTAGCCTCTGATATCATAACCACCAGATGTTTTAAATCACCAGTTTCTGACCATATGACCACAGTTTTTATCACCTCTCCATCATCTTGTGGTTTCTAGAGATTGACAGATAGTAAGTTTGTTTTATAGATATGGTAGTTAATGAAACACATTGAAATTGGTTTCCATTCTTTCTTCCTCAGTTCATTTCTTTTTGTCTTCCCACTGATATCTTTGGCAGCTCTTGAATAAATTCTACCTGTTGGCATCAAGGGGAAGAAAATTAGCCTGGAAATTTTTGTCTTTACATAAAGCCAATTATATAGCAGTTCAATTATGAATTCTAGGTGAAAGAATGAGAATACTCATTGGAATGGGTTTTGGGTAACAACCAAAGAAGGGAAAAGGGTATTGTTGAGGAAATTTGTCTTGATATTAAGTATTTACTGCAAGTCCAGAGGACCAAACAAAATAGGTTTAGGGTTTCATTTTTATCTCAAAGATTCTGATTCTCACCCATATGTCATCAGTTCAGTTTGGGACATGTGGTATATAACATGAGTGAAGAAAATAGTCATTAAAAGGGAAAAATAAACAGTTGAAATTTTCCATAACACTGAGCAAATATTCATCATAATTAGGATACGTACCTTTCTGGGATATTTGTAAGGTGCTGTAGTTTTTTAACATGCTCCTGAATCTCCTTTATTAGTTGTTCTTGATCATGTGACTTGTAACCAGGGTTCAGAACAATAGAAGCCTTTACTACCTAAAATTAATATTTGAAACACCAGGAAAAAAAAATTGTTGCACATGACACCTGTTGCACACAGTCTACCTCCTTAGGGGGAGGACCCCTTTTCTGTATATGACCCTCTACTACTGCGCATGGCACAGCCTCCTGCTGTGCACAGCCCACCTCTCTGCCCAGGTTACAAGCTCCCTCGCTTGTAACTCACGTGATTATGTATGCCCTATCACTAAGCCTATAGATGATGACCTCACTCACCACCCTGCCCCCTGTTTGTATCTAATAAATACAGATGCTCTTGGGCATTTGGAGGCTGCAGCCACTCTCCACTCACAGATGGTGTGGCCCCCCGAGTCCAGATGTCTTCATCAGTTCTACAGTGTCCTGTCTCTTCACTTCTTGGATCCTGCACCTCACCACAGCATAAGGGACACCCCACGACCCTGTGGGGCCTCCACAGCCCTACATGCAATCCAGGAATCTGTGCTTTAAAAGCTCTCTGAGATTTCTGTGTGTGCTGATGTCTGACGAGCACACCGTCTCTGCAGAGTAGTGGCCCTTGGAGCTCCCTATGCTACTGCGTTCTCTGATGTCAGTTCCCTCAGCTGCTTTTGAGTTGCGCATATGCATCACAATTCCTGGTCTGCTAATTATTTCCAGGAAATGTATTCATTTGGTAAAGATTCATCAAGGACCTGTCTTATTCTGGGTCCTGTTCTCTATGGACCAGTCTCAGAAAAAGGAATGAAACTTCCTTGGACCTCATGGATGGCACAGCCTAGGTGGAGGTGGGAAGATGGATAAGCAAAGTGCAACATAACAAATTAAGTGTTTGACATGATTTATTTCCTTTGAAGTCTAGATTAATATTTTATAATAATGGTATTAATTTCCATCTATCTATGATTACCAATTAATTTTTCTGTTTTTGTTCCTTCCTTTCATTATTTGGTCTTCCTTTCTTCCCTTTTTAATTTTTTTTGAGAGGGAGTTTCCCTCTTGTTGCCCAGGCTGGAGTGCAATGGCATGATCTGAGCTCACTGCAACCTGTGCCTCCTGGGTTCAAGCGATTCTCCTACCTCAGTCTCCCCAGTAGCTGGGATGACAGGCGTGTGCCACCACACCCAGCTAATTTTTTGTATTTTTAGTAGAGAAGGGGTTTCTCCATGTTGCTCAAGCTGGTCTCTAACTCCTGACCTCAGGTGATCCGACCACCTCGGCCTCCAGAAGTGCTGGGATTATAGGCATGAGCCACCGCGCCAGGCTTTATTTCTTTTTAAATATATCTTAGTGACATTCTAAATATTTGTAAAGGAAGTATTTTGCTGAAAAACCAACAGTTTTATTTATATAAAAAGTCTTTGCTCGATTCTTTTTTTGCTTTGTTTTTGTTTTTGAGATGGAGTCTTGCTCTGTAGTCCAGAGTCCAAGCCATCTCTGCTCACTGCAACCTCTGCCTCCTGGGTTCAAGCGATTCTCCTGCCTCAGCCTCCTGAGGAGCCGGCATTACATGAGCCCGCCACCATGACTGGCTAACTTTTGTATTTTAAGTAGAGACAGAGTTTCACCATCTTGGCCGCTCTGGTCTCAAACCCCTGACCTCAAGTGATCCGCCCGCCTTGGCCTCCCAAAGTGCTGGGGTTACAGACGTGAGCCACCATGCCTGGCCTTTTGTTTTATTGTTGAAAGGTGGGTTTCACAGCCACAGATTCCCAGTTTGACGTTGGTGTTTTCCTCAGCTGGTGAATGCTGATGTCTCTTCTGGCTACTGTGGCTGACAGGGAGAGATGTCAGCTACGTTCCAATCCAGATGCATTTTAAATGACCTTTGTTTCTTCTATGGCTGCTTTCAAGATCACTGTTTGTCTTTACCGTCTGAAGTTCCAGTGCAGTCTGAGCCGATGTGGATCTCCTTTCATTCACCGGGCTGCGTAGACCTTTACTTAAAAGTTTGCCATCACCTCATTATGGAATATCTCCTTTCAGTCACTGTCCTTTCATCTTCTAGGAGTTTAATTAGACTAACGTTAAACCTCATTCAGCCGCCGAATAATTGTAGAAGGCAGAATAATGGCCCCACAAATGTATTCAAACCCTAAACTCCAGAACCTTCGGTTGCATAATCTTACATAACAAAAGGAACTGCAGATATGGTTAAGGGTGTGGATACTGAGAGGGGAGATTATCCTGGATTATTTAGGAGGGCTCAGTCTGATCCGGAATTCTTTTTTTCTTTTGTCTTTTTGACTTTTATTTTAGGTTCAAGGGATACACTTTCAGGTTTGTTACACGGGTAAATTGCGTATCATAGGTGTTTGGTGTGCAGATAATTTTGTTACTCAGGTAATCAGCACAATACCCGATGGGTAGTTTTTTAAACCTCCCCTCCTCCCACCCTCCCCCCTAAAATAGGCCCCAGTGTCTGCTGTTCCCTTCTTTGTGTCCATGTGTACCCAATGTCAAACTTCCACTTCTAGGTGAGAATATGTGGGATTTGGTTTTCTGTTCCTGCATTAATTTGCTTAGAATAATGGTCTCCAGCTCCACCCACGTTGCTGTGAAGGACATGATTTCGTTCTTGTTGTTGTGGCGGGGTAGCACACCACGGTGTACACGTACCACATTTTCTTGATCCAGTCCACTGTTGATGGGCATCTGGGTTGATTCCTTGTCTTTGCTAATTGAACGGTGCTGCACCGATTATGAATTCTTAAAAATGGAGATAACTGAAGAAATGTAGGGCAGATGTAGTGTGGAATTTCATCTGCAGTGATTTCTGATCGAGTGAAATATGATTGTCTCTGTTTAAATGATTGGATTACGTGGTAACATGCATTAATAGATTTAAATATTCTTGCAATCTTGGGATTTAAATAAACTTGGTCAAGAAATTTAATTTGTTTAGAGCACACTGATGGAAACAGTCTGCTATTTTTCTCATCTATTTCAATCTAGTTATTCATAGTAATTTTTCTGTCATGTTTCTTTGTTATTTGTTCCCTAACTGGCTTTAGAGTGAACACTATTCATATCTATAAAGTGAGTGTTCTAGCTTTCCATGTATTTCCCCTTTCTCTTGAATATTTTAAACAAGTCCAATAACCTTCCCTGAAGGGTTGGTAGAACTTCCCTGTGAAACAATCTCGATGTGGCTGAACAGAAATAGGATTTTACAACTGTTTTGACTTCTTTGTTTGCAGTAAGTATTTTCCTTCGACATAATTTTTTTTATATTATTTCAAGATTGTTTACATCTCCACTATAGCTGCAGTGGCATATTTATCTGTCATAACACTATTTTGTCATAACATATGTTTATCATGTGTATTTATTAGTGTGTTTTGTCATAACATACTTATCTGTCATAACACTGTCTTGCTCCTAATTAACATTGCCTGTTTTTTTCTCTGTTCAAAGAAACAGCTGACTTTGGTAGGCTAGATTCTCAGCAGCGGCAGCTGCCAGCTCGGCCTTGGTGTGTGGTGACTCAATTGCTGTGCCCATGCAGTGTCCACCCCAGCCACCACGGCCACTTTGTGCAGGGACTGTATGAGCAAGCCCTGTGTGGCTGGGTGGCATCATCCATCAAGCCATCTCGACCACCTGGTTACAGGGAGCCCCAGCCCCTCGGAGACCCTCTGGTGGGTATTCACATGCAGCCTCTATCTTCACACGCTCTTCCCATGGAAAGAGGTCAGTGCACACTTCACTCTTCCACCCCCCAATTCTCCAACTTTCATTTCCCCAAGTTCCAGACTGGCCAGGCAACCCATGAGCCACTGCCCATGATTCATTCATTCAGGCACTGCTGGGGCATCATTTCACATCCTTCACCTCCTGTGATTCTGTTTGGGTTTGATTCCTAGTTCCTGGCTCGACAGGCATTTCCAAAGCTGTTCTGGTGTCAGCTCCCAGGTTGACTGCTCTTGTTGTAGGTTCTCCTCTTCATATCTGAGTCATGGGCATTTATTTCCTGGAATTTAAAAAAATGTCCCTGGTATTTTCAATGCAGCATTTTTAAGGACTTGTAGTAGGAGAAATTCTATATTAGCTTAGAGATAATTGTTTTAAAATGCCAGAAATGTGTACTTGAGTGGACAACATGCATGAAGGGGGAGAAATCATAGGTGGACAGTGGGTTTTGACCAAGTGAAAACTCAGGTAAACAACATCTTCATCAAGCAACAGGATTTCCCACCTCCAAGAAACACCCCTGAGTCCTACTCACTCATAAACCACCCTCCTCACCCTAGAGTAGCCACTCTCTTGATTTGTAACACTGTAGGTTAGTTCTGCGGTTCTGACTGAATGAAATCATACGTCGTTTTCACGTCATCGGCCTCATCATCTTTGTTGGCTCATCATCTTGCTGTGTGTGGTCACAGCCTGTTCACTCCCACGGCCGTCAAGTGCTCCAGTTTATATATGGCTCATACTCTTGTCCCTCCACTGTTGATGGACCTTTGTGCTGTATCTAGGTTTTACAACCTGTGCTGCTATGAATAATTTTTCATATATTTTAGCAAACACACATGCATTTCTACTGCTTTTAACTAAGAGTGCTATTGCTGGGTCATAGGTGAGTGGATGCTTGGCTGCTTCTCTCAAAAAACAATATTCTAGCTGGGCACGGTGGCTCACGCCTGTAATCCCACCACTTTGGGAAGCCAAGGTGGGCGGATCACCTGAGGTCAGCAGTTTGAGACCAGCCTGACCAACAAAGAGAAACCCCGTGTCTCCTGAAAATACAAAATTAGCCAGGTGTGGTGTCACATGCCTGTAATCCCAGCTACTCATGAGGCTGAGTCAGGAGAATCGCTTGGGAGGCGGAGGTTGTGGTGAGCCAAGCTTGCATCACTGCACTCCAGCCTGGGCAACAAGAGTGAAACTTTGTCTCAATAAAAAAAAAAAGGTTTCTATTGAGCGAACAAATAGTAGGAGAGGGTAAATCTCTTCTTCTTCTTTTTTTTTTTTTGACAAAAGGATTTATTTGGAAATTTCCAAACCTGCCAGAAGTGGCACTCGCCAAGCCCCCAGGCCCATCCTCCTCACCAAGCTCCAAAGAGTAACACCGATCCTCCCAGCCTCCACATGCACACACCCATACCTCAGGCCATGCTAGAGAACTGGAGTATCCCCTCCACGGCCCACGCCACTGGAGAGGCAGCCCTCTGGCATCCCAGGAGATGATGGCGGCCAGAGCCGCTTGCATAGATTGAGGAAGGAAAACAAGGAGGCACCAAACAGGGTTCCCTGAAAACCCCCAACTTTCCCCTGTACAAAAAAAGTGGCTCCCACATAGAAAACTTGCTCCCAAAATAGTGCAAATACCCAAAGGAAAGGAAAAAACCAGCAGCAAGGCTGGGCTTGTAGGAATGGCAAAGAACTTTGGTTTAGAAAGGCTAGGAAGAGTCTGGGCTGAACCTCCTCTTCCTGGCCCAGCTCCCCAGAGCCAGCTCTGACCCTCACCTCAAGGGATTGTCTGTAAACATGCAAACCCAGCAGCCTTTGGTTCCAAAATTGTTACAAAGCACAGCCTCCAGCAGTCCTACTTGGGCCTGCCTGCACGGGGCAGAGGAGGCATCTGCTGAACCCAATTAAAGCCAATGCAAAATGAATAAGGCTTTGGGGACCAAGCAACAAGGAATCCTATCACTACATTTATAAAACTAAAGCTGCGGAGTAGAGGGTGACAGCAGACAGTTCTCACCCCAATCTACATGTCTGAGGCCCCAGCAAGGACCCAGAGGGTGGTCTGTCTCCAGGGCTGGGAAGAAAGGAAGAGATCCCTGAGCAGTTAGGTCAGGCGAATTCCTAGCACCTGTTCCAGTTCCTGCCTTCGCTGCTGCACCTTGGCAAAGATGTGCCTGCCTACTGCTTCCTGGGCCCAGGGCTGGTGGTAGAAAGCAGCTCGTCTCTCCTCCTCAGGATTTCCAATCACATCAGTGATGATCTTGAGGTCTCGGCGCTGGGAACGGAGCCATTCCTGGATGAAGTCCTGGGGGTCGGTGCTAAAGCTGAGCATGAAATCCCTCTGGGTCTTTAGCTGGTTGATGGACTCAATGGTCTCATGGATCTTGACATCAAGGGAGGCAATCTCCTGCTGATTGGTGGTAGAGGCCAGAAAATTGCTCATCTGGGCCTTCAGCAGGTCGTCCACCTCCACATCAATGTGGTAACAGGCTGTCTTCTTCTGGTCGTTTGGGTCCACACTAATGACATGATTGATGACAATGGGGTCCGGGTGCTGCAGCAACCCCGCCAGCTTCATGGGAATCTCAGAGAAACGGAGTGGGCCACAACTGAAGATCTGGCGGAAATAGCGGTTGCAGTTGATGTACTCCCGCTTGTGCCCGTCCTGCAGCTGGTTATGCTTGATGTAAAGCCACAGGGCCTGCATGATGGCAGCCCTCGTCTGCGTGTGCACTCCCAGCAGTCTCGCCAATCGGGGGTCCAATTTGTATTGGGGAGGCTGATGATCCAGCATGAGCAGGAGGGTGCACTTGACATTGAGGTCTCCAGGCCGTTTTACCTGGAAGCCATCTGTCTCCTGGGTGGTGGGCATCCGGTGCCACTCCACCAGGTGATTGTCAGGCCCATACAGCTCCTTGTCCAGCTCAATGACCAGGCTCTTAAAGAATGAAGAAAACTTCCTCTTCCGTTTGCTAGGATCATCCAGCAGTTTTCCTTCCACTCGGAGTTCCCAGGAAGCCACCTTGTCCCCTACTGGGGTTCCCCCAGGGGTCCCTGCAGTTCCTACACTGTCGCCTTTTGCCTTGCTGGGACTGAATGTGTTGGAAATGTAGATCCGAAGCTTTCGCTTTTGCGTCAGAGGCTTTTTGATGGCCTCCTGGATCTCCATTCGTTTGCGAGCAATGGTCTGGTCCAGCTTCCGCTCAAAAGCCAAGAGATCCATGTAGGCCTGAGCCTCTGGGACAAGCTCCCGGATTCGTTGAGGTAGAACCTTATCTGCCATCTTCCTCCTCTTTAACCTCCGGCGCTGGGCAGGCATGGGGGGCTGCACCTGGGGCACAAGCAGGCGTTTTCGGAATGGATCCATCATGGTAGGTGGCATGCCAGGTCGAAGTGGAGCTGCAGCACCAAATGGGGAGCCAGCAGGGGGTCCCACCTGCAACCCAGCCATGGGCATCCGGTTCCCTGGTGACATGCCAGGTCGCTGCTACTGCGCCGCGGGGCCCGCGGGGCCCATGGGGCCGAAGGCGGCGGCCCCGGGCCCCCCCACGCCTCCAGCTGGCCCTGGTCCCCGAAGCGCCGGTCCGGGCAGCATGCCGGCTCCCGCGGAAGGCGGCGGCGCTCCCAGGGCCGCGGCCACCACGCCGCCGCCAGGGCTCAGCGGGGACAGTGGGAACCCGCCCGCGCCTCGGCCCGACATCGCTCCGTCCAGTCCCGCGGTCAAATCTCTTCTTTTATATATTATTCAGCTAGTAAATTAGGAAGGAATCAGAGACGAAGAGTATAATTCTTTTGTAACACATAATAAATTAATAGACTTAGCCATTGAACAGCAATGGCAATTAAGAGTACAGTAAAAATAGACAACCATCAGTAAGTTCTTCTTCCTCATGGAAGAAGAGGGCAGTGCCATAAATAAAATAGTCAAGAAAAACATCTAGCTTGTCTATAAGCAAATGTCTGCAGCCAACTACCAATCTATAAAAGTACAGATAAAAATGGCCCATATTAACCTATGCCTTGGGGTGAGCCAGCAAAATGCAAACTGGAAAACTCAGGCAGACAGTATACATTTCAAGGAGGAACATACAGAAAAAAAAAGAACAAAAATTATATACTCCAAAGTAAAAATAAACTGCAATTTTAGATGATGAAAATATAAAATAGAACAAAGAAGTGATGATCATAAGTCAGGCTGTGATTTTATGTGGGGGAGGGAAGAGTTCATCACTGAGCTGGGGCAGACGATGGGGTTTCTGGGCTGGCTGACAAGCTTCTATCTCTCTGGTGGTTAAAGCGTGTTTACCTTTTATTGAAGAGCAACATTTTCAGACAGGTTTTCTTTTTTGGTACTTGTTTTATTTTATTTATTTCTTCTTAAAAGAAGAAGCATAAAGTAATTTATAGGTCACAGTTACGTTTTGCACAAAGCCTACTCCTCACACCCATCTCCAGACACTGAGCTCCCAAAACAAGCGGCAGCCCCAGGAGCCCCTGGCAGGGCCACCTCACTTCTGGGTGTGGCCATGTCACTGGAGGAAATGTCCTGGGTCTGTTCCGTGATGCCTGGAAGAATCTGATAGGACACACTGAGAGGAAGCTTCCCTGTCACCTGCAGGTTCTTGGCCATCACTGTAGAGGGAGCAGGTCCTCACTCTCCGCAGGCTGGATCACAGCCAGAGCTTCCTCTCTGCATGGGGAGTAAGGCTGGTCCTTTCCCTGAACACAGTGACAGAGATCTCTCCAGAGGTGAAGATGACACCATTCTTATGTTCTCTGCTTCATAGGTCAGGGAACTGAGGCACCAAGCGGGAAAGTGCTGGTGAGATCCAGGCAGGGAGCTGAATCCCAGCTGCCTGGCTGCAGAGTCTCAGCACCCTCAGTGGAGCCAGTGGGCCCAGGAGCTGACATCAGAGGCTGAAATCCCAGCTGTGTGGCATCCCTGTGGTCTCCTGTCCCAACCACATGTCAATCCAGGACCTGCAGGCTCATGAGCTTTGGAGAAAAGAGAGAAACTGGTGAATGCTCCACTGGGTGCAGAGTATTGTGTTCATTCCCTGAGGACTTTTCTCTCTTCGGTTGCTCCAAAATCAGATTCTCCCTTTCTCTGAGGGAATATGAGGCCCTCACTGTTTTCTTCCTCCCACCCAGCTTTTCCCAGCCCCTGCCAGTTCCCTCCCATCACTCCATCAACATCAGCACCTGCCCTGTGCCCACCACCCATCAGGCAGGGAGTGAAAGGGCCCCAAGACTAAATAAAGCACAAGACGCAAGAGGGAACCCAGTGTCCTCCCCTCTGCTCAGGCCTGACCAGTTCTGTTAGAGTGAGAGGCCTCCCCGAAGAGAGGCCCTGACCCTTGCCCTCAGTCCCTGGGCCCTCCTCTCCTGCAGAGGCACCTGCACACCAGGGCAGGCCCTGCCCACCGTGGGCTCTGCCCTATACCTGTGACTCGGCGTTCCTCCCCTCCCAGCCCAGAGCTGGCAGCTCTTAACTGGGGACCCCATCAAGAAGACTGAGGGTGCCCAGCAGGCTCAGCATGGAAAGACGTGGCTGTCACAGGATTGGCAGCTGACCCTGGGACCCCCAGTTTACTTCAGGAGGACTGGCCTCCCCTGACCCTTAGCACCCACCAGGCCTATGACCTGCTCTAGAGTCACCACTGCTCCTGCCTGGTCCACTTACCCCTGGAAACGCAGCTCCACCCCAGGGCTGCTGCTTGGCAAGGCTTCGAGGCCTTCCTGCCCTGTCTCTAGCAGGGATTCCACCTAGGACACTGCCCTTGCAACCTATAAGGGATTTTCTCCATGTGGAGTAGGGTGGACCCCTTAGCCTGAGGCCTCTGTCCACCCGCTGCACCTGGGAACTGCCACAGTCACAGCCACCATCTCCCACACAGACCCTCCTGGAGTGGGAGCTCCAAATTTGAGTTCCTGTTTCATTTAGTATGCTTTACAACATCAGTATTAGAGGAAATTCTGTCAAGATCGTAGAGCTGAGATTACGAACGTCTTTATGGGACATCAACGTTGAAAGCAGGAATTTTGAGAAATTGGCACATGACTTTCATACCCTTTTCCTGGCCAAACCCCCAATGACCTCTGAGGAAAGCAATCACGCTCACAGAAAACCAGAACTGACAATCCCTCTACGGGAGACTCCGCAGGTGAGAGCAGGAGCCACCACACACCTGCTCTGCCCCTGCTGCGGGTGCCTCCTGGACAGGGCCCTGATGCTGCAGGGCAGGGGATGAACCTTCCCATCTGCCCAGGCCTGAGGGGCAAACAGAGCAATTAGGTAATCAATGAGAAACCACCACCCCTGCCGCCAGGTACACAGAAGTGGGGAAATGACAGAAAGACCCAGGTCTCCTGGACGCTCCATCCTCTCTATGTCCCCTGCACTGCCTCTGTTTTTGCAGAAACACAAAATTTCCTGCTTTCTCTTTTCAGATCCCGTCAAACAACCGGACTGTGGGGGAAATGATCCTGACTGTCCCTTACTCCAAACTTACCAGGCAGTGACCACCTTGAGAAAGGGAAATTGCCTCAGGGAGGGCAAGGTCAGGCCATAGAGCACAGAACAAAGCCCCAGAAACATGGTCCCTGGGGACTGTGTCCCTTAGGGCCTGGAGAAGAAAACACTTGGAGGTAGGATGAGAACAGGGACCACACTGCCCTGATGAGGGCTGGGCCCCACTCCTCAAATGGCCCACAGACATCTGCTTATCTACTCATCCATATCATCTGCCTGGAAACACAGGGAGGCCAGACGGTGGGAACCTGGAAAGAGTAGTGCCTCGGGTGACACAGAGGACATGACACCCCCGAGGCAGCTCCTGGAGGAGGCCCATGGGGAGCTGCAAAGCTGACAGAGAAGGCCGTGTGCGACCAGGACCCTCCTTGTTACAAGAGGGCCTCATAGGGGCTGTATAGGTAGGGTCCCCAGTCTGGGTCTCATATATCTTTTCCTTGGCGTGTCCCTCCACCAAATGGCTAGAGAAACAGGGGAGAGGGATGCAGAGGAAGGGACTAGGGGCACCGCCTCCCCTCAGATTCCTCTCCAGTTTCTAGCCCTCCCCAGATCACAGCTGCCTTTACTATTTGCTCCCTCTGAGGCTGTGATCATCCAGGCCCTCAGCACGCCGCATGTGATTCCCAACTCACCCCACCTGGACGCGCCCTAGTGAGCCTGAGAGACAGAGATACCGAGATGGGGACAGGGTAGGTGCCACGGCCGTCCCTGCTGGCCACTCCTCACCTGCAGCAGGAAGAGGCCACAGCTAGACATTCGAGGTCCTTCCCTGGCCCTTGCTTCGGAAGGATTTAGGGGTGCAGATGGAGATGTGGCTCCCATTCCCCTCCGAAATACCCCAACTTTCAACCCCTGTTCCAGAAGCCTGGTCACCTACATGCCTATCTGTGCAGGAGCAATGAGGGGATGCTACTGCCCGGACAGGAGCCCTCGCATCTCCAGCCACTGCCCCCTTTTCTCACCTGGATGCTGTGTGGGTAATGTTTTATTCTTCTTGTAATGAAGGACACAGAGAAGACTAATAGCGGCAGCAGCAGCAGAAACAAAAATATATAGAATGACCATTGCCTCTGAAGCACTGGCACCTTCCCTGCAAAAAGGCACTTGTTATACACCAGGCAGAGAGCCACAGCTGACCCTCTCCAGGGTCACCCCAGGCTCACCAGAGGGCACAGGGTGAGTGCTGTGGTTCCCGCTGTGTTCCATGTAGCAGGTGAACCTCTGCTCCTCTCCTTGGCGAATCCTGATGGTCACCCAGGTCTGGTAGGTTCCATTCCCATCAGGCAGGACACCCTCTGAGTGCTGGGCGTCGTGGCTTAAAGATACCCCATCCTGACACCAGTTCAGTGTGATATTTGGGGGATAGAAGCCGGAAGCCCAGCATGTCACATTGATGTTTCTCTCTGAGCCCTCACTGCGGGTGACATTCACCATGGGGGGCACTGGAGAAGAAAGCGCAGAGTCAGTGAAGCCCTGCTCCCCACTAAGGGAGATGCAGGGAACAGGGCCGCTCCTCTCCACTGTTCCCACTCTGGCCGAAGCACTCAGACCCCTACCTTCTGTAAGTCAGTCCTCACCCTGGGGTCCAGTTCCTCTAGGGCTGGCAGGAGGATGGGCCTCAGGACTGCAGCCTTAAGTTCTAGGATCCCCACAAGGATGCGGAGGAGGGGGATGTTAGGGGTGGACTCCTGGGTCTGGGGCCAGGAGGGAACTCTCTAGGATGGGCAGGCTCGGAGGCAGATGGGGCAGCCCTGTCCCTGAACACTTCCTCTCCTGCCTGACACCCACCCCAGGCTCAGGATTCTGTCGGAGGACCCCCTGATTTCCCAGATTACAACACTGAATGATTCAGTCCCAGACCCACTGTCTTTATTCAGTGGCTCCGACAGGACAGGAAAATCAGGACACACTATGCCAACAGGAAAAGCCTGCATCCACAGCACTGGGCAGGTTTCCCGGGTCGGAGCTGGGGGGTGAGGCAACTCTAGCAGAACTGTGGGGAGAGGAGAGGCCCTGCCCAGGGTCCATACCTGTTCTCCTGATGCCTGCCCCAGATGCCAGATATCGCCGTAGTTTCCACAGGCAGTCTGCCAGCACAGTGCCAGCTTTCTTTGCGTTTTCCTCCAAGACCTTCGTGATGTTTATAGGCAAGATCTGAACTCTGGAGGATTGTGACACGTTCCACTCCCGAGTGTCCAGGTTTTGGGAGAGGAAGAGCTCCCCATCAGAGTAGAAATGCCGGAAACCCCTGGTGCTGCCATCTTCATGGATCTCACAGAGTCTAATTTCCTGGAGGGAATGCAAGGCTGGCCCCACCCAGCAGTGACTTCTCCATTCCTGAACTCCTCACCTTCCCACCCAAGTGAGGAACTCAGCCCAGCAGGAACCCCTCCCTAGCTCTCCTCCGTGCCTCCCTGTGCTGGCTGAGTGCTGGCTCACCTTCCTGCTGAGCTCCACTGATCCCCCTTTCCCATCTCCAGCCCCAGCCAGATCCAGTGGGAAGAGACAGGTCCCTGCTCTCTGCCCCTAAATTTTCTGGAAAAGGCCTCTCCCTTCCCACTCTCACCTCCTTTCTGCCCCTTTTCATGAGCCAGGGTCATCTTGAGGTCCTTCTCATTCTCTCTCAAGTCCTCGATCTCAGTGTTTGAGGTCTCGGCTCTCAGGATTGCTTCTGCCCACTGTCCCTGGGGCCCTGCCGGGCATTTCTGCCTGTCACAGAGCAGGAAGAGCTGACCATCCAGATGCCCGTCAGCGAGAAATCCTGACTGCACAGATCCATCCCAGGACAGCACTGTGAGGTTATAACGAAGACTGTGGGGCTCTGGGGAAGAGAAAATCACAGATGAAACTTCTCCCTGGAAGTAACTTCACATCAATGCTTAACACACAGGTCTGCTGTATCGACCTTCCTGAGGAGGCAGGAAATGCACATGGGCAAAGGAACAAGAATGAGGGTTTCATATACAAGGAAAACTGGGAAGGTGGGAGGATAGAGGAGGGGACTGAGGAATGGAAGAAGGGGGAATGGAGATGGCAAACTTGTAGGCCTGGTGCCAGGGCTGGGTGGCCACAGGCCCCCTGAGGGTATAAGGACCACAGGGAGAGGCTGCCATGCAGGGGCAATGGAGGAACATGAAGGCAGTAGTGGAAGGAAGGTCTTGCCAGAGGGGAGGCGGGGGATGGGAAGGGACTCAGGCTCAGAGGAACCCATGTCCAGTGTGGCTGTGGTGCACAGGTGATGGTGAGATGGAGGCAAGGGGAGCTGCCTCGAGAAAAGATTCATCATGGGCATGGTAGGGCAAGGGAGGGGTGGTCATGAGGCACAAGGGGCAGGACGGTTGTCGCCCCAGAGAAGTTTATAGTGGGGTCAGTATCCCAGAGGGAAGCAATGGTGTGGGCTTGGGTCCAAAGGAGAGTGGCATGATAGCATGATAAGGCCTCAGGACAGGCAAGTGCATGGACCAGCCAGTGTCTACTGGGGTGGGCAGATGACAGGGTCTCAAAGAGTCAGTCCACATTTCAGTAAATAGTGCTGGGGGAACTAGATGTTCAAATAAAATCAAATCGGACCCTGAATTTGCATTCTATACAAAAATTAACTCAAAATGAACAAAAGACCTAAACTCTTAACTCAAGAACTAAAACTTAAAAATGGCTAGCCATATGCAGAAAGCAGAAACTGGACCCCTTCCTGACACCTTACACTTATATTAACTCCAGATAGATTAGACTTAAACATAAGACCTAACACCATAAAAACCCTAGAAGAAAACCTAGGCAAAACCATTTTGGACATAGGAGTAGGCAAGGACTTCATGACCAAAACACCAAAAGCATTGGCAACAAAAGCCAAAATAGACAAATGGGACCGAATCAAACTCCACAGCTTCTGCACAGCAAAAGAAACAGCCATTAGAGTGAATTGGCAACCAACAGAATGGGAAAAAATTTTTGCAATCTACCCATCTGACAAAGGACTGATATCCAAAATCTACAAAGAACTAAAACAGATTTACAAGAAAAAAAAAAAACAAGCCCATCCAAAAATGGGCAAAGGATATGAACAGACACTTTACAAAAGAAGACATACATGAGGCCAACAAACATATGAAAAAATGCTCATCATCACTGGTCATTAGAGAAATGCAAATCAAAACTACATTGTGATACCATCTCATGCCAGTTAGAATGGCAATCATTAAAAAATCTGGAGACAACAGATGCTGGAGAGGATGTGGAGAAATAGGAACACTTTTACACTGTTGGTGGGAGTGTAAATTAGTTCAACCATTGTGGAAGACAGTGTGGCAATTCCTCAGGGACCTAGAAATAGAAATTCCATTTGACCCAGCAATCCCATTACTGGGTATATATCCAAAGGATTATAAATCGTTCTACTGTAAGGGCACATGCACACAAATGTTCATTGCAGCATAGTTTACAATAGCAAAGACTGGGAATCAACCCAAATGCACATGGATGATAGAATGGACAGGGAAAATGTGGCACATATACACCATGGAATATTATGCAGCCACCAAAAACGATGAGTTCGTGTCCTTTGTAGGGACCTGGATGAACCTGGAAACCATCATTCTCAGCAAACTAACGCAAGAACAGAAAATCAAACACCACATGTTCTCACTCATAGGTGGGTGTTGAACAATGGTAACACATGGACACAGGGAGGGGAGCATCACACACTGGGGTCTGTTTGGGGGAAATAGGGGAGGGACAGCGGGGGGTGGGGAGTTGAGGAGAGATAGCATGGGGAGAAATGCCAGATATAGGTGATGGGGAGGAAGGCAGCAAATCACACTGCCATGTGTGTACCTATGCAACAGTCTTTCATGTTCTTCACATGCGTCCCAAAACCTAAAACACAATTTAAAAAAAATTTCTTAGAAGAAAACATTGAGGATAATCTTCATGACATAGGATTTGACAGAGCTTTCATGGATGTCACACCAAAGCACAGACAGAATAGAAAGAACTGACAAACTGGACTCATGAAAATTAAAACATCTGTGCATCAATGTGAATAAGCAATCAACCCCTGAAATGAAATAAATATTGCAAATCATACATCTGATAAGAGATTAGTTTCCAGAATACATAAGGAAGTCTTATGAAAACAATAAAACAGTCAACCCACTCAAAAATGGGCAAAGTAGCCAAGCGAAGCTACGTGGGGCAAAAATGGGCAAAAGTCTTGAATGGCCAGTTCTTCAGAGAAAACATACAAATGATCAATAAACTCGTGAAAAGATGCTCAATATCAGTAGTCATTAGGAAAATGCAAATCAAACCCACAATGACATACCACTTCAAACCAATCAGGATGGCTATTATCTCACACACACACACACACACACACACACACGAGGTGGAGAAACTGAAGCCCCTGTGTACTGCTTCTGGAAATATAAAATGGCACACCTCCTTCAATGGAAAACACTATGGTAATTCCTCTAAAAGTAAAAAAATGAAATACCATATGATCCAATAATCTATTTCTGGGTATATATCCAAAGGAAATAAAAGCAGGAACATGAGGAAATATTTGGCCCCCCATTATCATAGCAACATAATTGCCCACATCCAAAAGGTGGAAGTAACCCAAGTGTCCATTGTCTGAGGAATGGATAACCAAGAGGTGGTACATACATATAGTGAGTATTATTTATCATTAAGAGGAATGAGATTCTGATGCATATTACAACCTGGATGAACCTCAAAAATAGTAGAAGTGAAATAAGTCAGAAACGAAAAGACAAACATTACATGATTCTACCTAAATGAGGTACCTAGAGTGGTCAAATTCATAGAAACAAAAAGTAGAATGGTGGTTACCAGGGGCCAGAAGTAGGGAGAAATGGGGAGTTACTGATGAATGGTACAGAGTGTTGGGTTGCACGAAAATGTGAATGTATCTAATGTCACTGAAGTGTACACTTAAGAGTGGTTAAAACAGTAAAATTTGTATAATGCACACTTTACCACAATTAAACATTTAAAGAAGAAGAAATACCAATCCTATTCAAACTGTTCTGAGAAACAGAGGAGGGAATACTTCCCAACTCATTTTACAAAGCCAGGAATATCCTGATACCAAAACCAGGCAAAGACACATAAAAAAAGAAAATGACCGGCCTATATCCCTGATGAACACTGATGCAAAAACCGTCAATGAAATACTAGCAAACCAAATTCAACAATACATTAAAAAGATCATGCTTCATGACCAAGTGGAATGTATTGCAGGTATGCAAGGATGGTTTAACATACACAAATCAATTAATATAATACATCATATCAACAGAATAAAGGACAAAACCATACCATCATTTTCAATGATACTGAAAGAGCATTTGATAAATGCAACATCCCTTCATGATAAAAACTCTCAAAAAACTGACTATAAAAGGAACAGACTTCAACAATAAGAGCCATATATGACAAACTCACAGCTAGTAACATACTGAATGGGGGAAAACTGAAAGCCTTTTCTCTAAGATCTGGAACAAGACAAGGATGACTACTTTTACCATAGTTGTTCAACACAGTACTGCAAGTCCTGGCTAGAGAATCAGACAGGAGAAGGAAATAAAGGGCATTGAAATTGGAAAAGAAAAAGTCAAAGTATCCTTGTTTGCAGATCGTGGGGTCTGATATTTTGGAAAACCTAAATAAAGACTCCACCAAAAAACTATTAGAACTGAAGAACAAATTCAGTGAAGTTGCAGGATACAAAATCAACATGCAAAAATCAGAAGCTTTTCTACATGCCAACAGCAAATAATCTGAAAAAGAAATTTAAAAAACAAATCCCAGCCAGGAGCGGTGGCTCACACCTGTAATCCCAGCACTTTGGGAGGCTGAGGCAGGCAGATCATGAGGTCAGGAGATCCAGACCACTGGCTAACACAGTGAAACCCAGCCTCTACTAAAAATACAAAATATTAGCTGGGCACTCGCCTGTGGTCCCAGCTACTTGTGAGGCTGAGGCAGGAGAATCACTTGGACCTGGGAGGTGAAGGCTGCAGTGAGTTGAGATCGTGCCACTGCACTCCAGCCTGGGCAAAAGAGTGAGACTTCTTCTCAAAAACAAACAAACAAACAAACAAATCCCATTTACAACAGCTACAAATAAAATAAAATACCTAGGAATAAACTTAACTGAAGAAGTGAAAGATCTCTCCAATAAAAACTATAAAACACTGATGCAAAAAATTGAAAATATATTCCATGTTCATGGACTGGAAGAATCCATTTTGTTAAAATACCCATACTACACAAAGCTATGTAGAGATTCAGTGCAATCCTATCAAACACCAATGATATTTTTTCACAGAAATAGAAAAAATAATCCTAAAATATACATGGAACCACAAAAAACCCAGAATAGATAAAGCTATTCTGAGCAAAAATAACACAACTAGAGGAATCACATTATCTAACTTCAAATTATACTACAGAGTTACAGTAACCAAAATAGCATGGTACTGGCATTAAAAACAGACACACGGACCAATGAAACAGAACAGAGAGCCCAGAAACAAATCCTTACATCTACAGTGAACTCATTTCCAACAAAGGTACCAAGAACACACACTGGGCAAAGGAGAGTCTCTTCAATAAATGGTGCTGAAGAAACTGGATATTCATATGCAGAAGAATGAAACTAGATCCCTATCTCTCACCATATTAAAAGAAAAACAAATGAAAAGGGATTAAAGACATAAATCTATGACCATAAACTATGAAACTATAAGAGAAAACATTGGGGAAACTCTCTAGGATATTAAACTGGGCAAAGATTTTTTTTAAGTAATGCCTCATAGGCACAGGCAACCAAAGTAAAAATGCAAAAATGGGATCATCTCAAGATAAAAACCTTCTGCATAGAAAAGGAAACAATAAACAAAGTAAAGAGGCCATCCAAGAATGAGATAAACCCATTACAAACTATTCATCTGACAAAGGATTAGTAACCACAACATATAAGGAGCTCAGACAGCTCTATAGGAAAAAAAATTTAATAATCCAATTTAAAAATGAGCAAAATTTCTGCATAGTCATTTCTCAAAAGAAGACATGCAAATGGCAAATATGTATATGAAAAGGTGCTCAGCATCACTGGTCATCAGATCAATGCATCAAAACTACCATGAGATGTCATCCCACCCCAGATAAAATGGCTGTTATCCAGAAGACAGGCAATGAGGAATGCTGGCAAGGACGTGGTAAAAGAGAACCCCTGAACACTGTTGGTGGGAGTGTAAACTATACACCACTATGGGAAACAATGTGGAGATTCCCCAAAACTAACGTAATAGAACCGTCATATGCTGCAGCACCCCCACTGTTAGGCATATACCCAAAAGAAAGGAAACTGGTATATTAAAGACATATCTACTTTTCCACGTTTATTGAGGCACTATTCAAAATAGCCAAGATCCGCAAGCAACCTAAGTGTCCATCAACAGACAAATGGATAAAGAAAACGTGGCGCACACGTGTATTTGGAGTACTATTCAGCCGTCCTGGCACAGAGGGACAAACCACGTGTTCTCACTTATTTGCAGCAGCCAAAAATTAAAACAACTGAACTCATGGGGAGAGAGAATGGAATGATGACTACCAGAGGCTGAGAAGGGTGGTGGGGAGTGGGGAGTGGGATGGTTAATGGTTACAAAAATATAGTTAGAATGAATAAGATCTAGTTGATAGCACAGCAGGGTAAGTCAACAATAATTTACTGTACATGTAAAAATACTGAAAGAGCACAATGGGATTGTTTGTAGCACAAAGAAAGGATAAATGCTTGTTGTGATAGATACCCCATTTACCCTAATGTGATGATTACATATTGCATGCCTGCGTTAAAATATTCCATGTACCCATAAGTATATACATGTATATCTACTACATACCCAAAGAAAAGTTAAAAAAAAAAAAAAGCAAAAGTGTGGGTGCTGCCCAGAGAGAGAAAACCCAGGTAGAGGGGGAGACTCCCAGCCTGAGGAAGGGCCTGCCAAAAGTAGTGCTGGAGGGGGGACAGTCACCCCAGAGCAGGGAAAGCAAAGATTTTAGGTATGCGGTGTAGGGAGTGAGAGCCCACTGGGGTCAAAGAACTGAAAGAAAAGAATGAAGGTCAAGGAACAGTTGGACCAACAGCCTATTTTAGGTCTGGGTTGGGGAGGGGAGATGGGCAGAGCAACAACTGGAGGGCAACGTGAGCATAGGGCAGGAGCGACTGTGGAGGAACTTGGGGTAGGGTGAGGACAGGAGGGGGAGGGTGCTCTGTAGGGGGTGGGGCTTGGGAAAGATGAGAACTTGCTGAGGGCCCAAGGCAGATGAGCAAGAGGTAGGAGCAACACAAGGTCCCCAGGTGAAGAGGGGCAGAGGGACCAGGGAGGGATGGTCCAGCACCTGTGGGCTGGAGGGTGGGGTCCTCCAGAGGGTGAGGCTGAGGCTGAAAGAATGGGGAAGGGGCCACCTGAGGCAAGGCCCAGAGCAGGCACCTGCACTGGAGGGGAAGGGGCATCCTCGCTGCCCTGTGTCCTGCCTAAGACTCAACTTGTCATTAGCACCAGGGCTCCCCTTGGGTGCTCTGGAGGGGAGTGGGATGGAGGGAAGACCCTTGGACAAAGGCAACACCAGAAAGTTAGGGTCAGGGACAGTTGGAAGTGGGAGACATAGGGGCAGCGCTGGGTGAAGGCTGCTTGTAGGAAAGGCTCTTAGAGGCAGGAGTGACCTGCGGTGGTAGGGGCAGGGGATGAGGGCAGAGGACACCCTAGAAATGGATTAGAGAACTGTAGATAGGAAGGGGTAGCAGGGAGCTGGGAGGGCAACAGGATCCAGAGGGCCCTGAGATGGTCAGGGGAGGAGCGGGGAGGGAATCTGGTGTCCTTATTGGAGTCCCCAGTAGCAGGGAGGGGTGCGAGAGAGGAGAGGACCGCCCCCCCCAACCCCGGAAGAGGGAAGCCAGGGGAGAATGAACTAGGGATGAGAGAAGTCTCAGGAAGAATCCTCTGCCGGGAGCCTGCAGACTCCAACCCTTCAGCGTGAGAGCCAGGAGCCCCACAGGTCCCACAGCAGCAGGAAGCACCAGCTCCGGGTCCCGAGAAAGGAGGGGCCCAACTCCAGGGACTGCGGCCCGAGAGCAGAGAACTCGCGGGCTCCGGGGAGAGGACTGGGCTTCAGGGACCTGGGAGCCGTCCCCAACACCGGGAGATGTGGCTGCCTTAGGGGCCGAGCTGGGAGGGCTCTCAAATGCCATTCACAGGAGAAGCCCGCGAGTCGGGGGAGAGCCTGGGACCCCAGGGGTCTCAGAAGGGCTGGTTTGTCCAAAAAGTGAGAGGAGGCAGAGGCGAGGCGAGAAGAGCAAGTGCAGGACAGGAAAATGCAGGGGCGGGTGATGCGCGGTCCGGAGGACAGAAAAGAAATGGGAAAGCAGGGCTGAGGTGTGGCGGCCACGGGCCGCGTCCAGGTCCCCGCACCCCCGACCCCGCACATGAGCCCCGCCCGGACCGCACAGCGCACGCCGCGACCCACCGGAACCCCCGGAAACGCCCCGCCGCTCCCGCTCCGCCGAGGACCGCCAGGAACCCCACTCACCAGCGGCGGCTCCTGGGGCTGCAAAAGAGAAGACGCCAGCCAAAAGCAGCAGGACTGGACCCAGCCTCATGGCCCGGACGTCGCCACCCTCTCAGCTGCTCAAGCAGCGGCCAAGTGGAGACCAGCAGAGGATTGAGCAGATGTTTAATCACCTTGGCAGAGTTCAGCCACCGCTCATCCAATGAATTAAACTGAGGGCTGGAACTTAGGCCCAAATAAGCACAGAGAGGGCGGGGCCACGGTCGGACTGCTATTTGCGGCTGGTCTCCGGTTGGGGAACTTTAGATCCCCGGACCTGGGGCCCAGACAAGTCGGAGCGCGCGGGAGCGCAGCCAAAAGCAGGGACTAGCTCCAAGTAGCTGAGGGTACAGCTCCAACCTCTGGAGCACGGCCAGGGCCCTGCGGCCCTTCCTGCATAGCGACCACCTATCCCCGCACCCCACCCTAAGGAGCGCGGGCCTCACCAAGCCCCTTTCGCCGGTCGCCCCATCCGGCCGGCTCTTATTAGCTTGTTCCTTCCAGGACAGACAACGCGCGGCTATTCTCCCAACACACGCCCTCAGCCGCGCACAGCGTTACTGGCTATGAGAGCAGTGACCAGATTTGCAGACTTGTTTCCGGATCTCAGCCACCTCTGCCTCTTAGAAGCACCTGCCCCAGTAGAACCGCGCAGACGACAAACTCTCTTAGACGTTTCAGCTTTAGAATCTCCTTCTCCTCCCTTAGATTCAAAGCCAGGTCCCCTTTCATCCCCTAATATCCTCTAAGTGTCTGAGGTCTCGCAGGGCCGCCTCTCTATTCAGTCCCTGGCTGATCACAGGGCCAAGGACGCGGCTCCCCATGGTTCACTATAACACCAAGCTCTCTCCAGACTCCCTTTCCCAGCCTGCCTTAGGACATCTGTACCTCCGGGGCCACAGCCCCCCTAATGTGACAGATCCACAAAAACTTTCTACATGTCTCCCACCACATCACTCCGTTTCTCTTTAGAGCATCACCATCCTTGGTCCCTTCTGATTTCCTCTTTCCCCTTCATCTCCAGGAGTCAAAGTCAGCTCTTCCAACCCTATTTCAATCCCATAGCCACTGCCTTAGTCTAGGCTTTTCCCTCCCTTCAGCCTAGGTTACTACACCGGCTTCCTAAACACTGTGCCTGCCCCAGTTGTAACCAGAGTGTTCCAAGCCACGCACAGCGCCACATCTGCTGAATGTCACACAGGATGCTTCCACTCTACCATGGAAACCACAGCTGCCAAAACCTGCTGTCTGGCACCACCCCCATTTTTCTGGTGACATCTCCCCAGGGTTGCAGTAAAAGTGGGCTCTGGAATCTCCTAACCCTATCCCACCAGGATGCCACTGACTAAGCCGCGTCCCTCTTCCAGGTCACTGTCACCTCTGCCTTCGAACCCATCAGAGCACACTGTATCCTCAAAATCTTCCCAATTAGGCTGGTCTGAGTGTACTGGTGTTTACAACTAATTGATCACAACCAGTATGGATGTCTTTGTTTCTTATTCACTCCCACTATTTCACTTGACTAGCCTGAAAAAAAAAAAAAAAAGAAGAAGAAAATCTTTTCATGTAGATAGCTGTGATGGTGGCACAACCTTGTGATTATGCTAAAAGCCACTGAGCTGTACACTTTAAAAGGATAAATTATGTGGCATATGAATTCTCAATTCTCAATAATAATAATCCTGTCCGGAAAGCCTCTTTCTACTGTGAGAATTGCCTTGTCCCCAGCACACATCTCTTAGTCTTTGGGACATCTAACAAGTGGTCTTCAAACCTAGCTACTGCATAGAACCACCTCTAAAGTTTAAATATCCATGTTCCCAGGCCACAGCCCAAACCAGTTAAATCAGTAAACTTAGGTTGGACCTAAACCTTCGTATCTTTTAAAGTTCCCTAGGTGTGATTCCAGTGTGTAGTGAAGTTTTAGAGCTCCTGATCTAGCTCATGGTTTCAACCTTCCTGATGGTACTGACTGTGCCCTGCCTTGAATCTTTTTTTTTTTTCTTACTCTGTCACCCAGGTGGAGTGCAGTGGCGTGATTATAGCCCACTGCAGCCTCCAATGCCTGGGCTCAAGTAATCCACTCACCACAGCCTTTTGAGTAGCTGGGACTACAGGCAAGCGCCACCACACCCAGCTGTCATCTGCCATCTTCTACCCTCCCCCATTAGATTATGAACCCTCCAGGATCAGGAACTGTGTTCATTTCCTCTTTGTCAGCCTCACAAACATCTTTTTAAGTTGAACTATACCGGTCATTGCTAACTATTTCCCTATGATCCCTAGCCTACACTTTTCTGTGGATGAAAATGTAATGTATTAGAGAATTTTAACAATTTCTTAGTTTTCACATTAACATTCACTAATAGTTTATTTTGATCCTCATAATTTATTGAGCACTGCAGGGACCAGGGTCTTTCCCCACCTTAGAGAGATTATTTTTCACTGCTAAATATTGAGATTATTTTCACTGTAGTGTTCGCGCCAAGGGCTCGAGACAGCTAGTTGACTCGCCCCAGTTTGGCTGCTGGACCTGTCTGCATTTCCCCACCTCGAGGGCTGTCGAGTGAGACAAAGGGCCGCGAGCTGAGTCACTAAAAGCAACAACAGAATGCAAGGCAAAGGTCTGCAGTTTATGAGGACATTGTGCTGTCTGCTTCCATGTCCCCTTTCAGTCTCTGTGTAAGCAATAAACTTGCTGCAATTAAGATGCCTAAGAGGAGCAGAGACCTCTGCCTATATTTTCCCTGGAGCCAAGCCTTTGTTTTAGCTCCTGGTGAAAAACAGGTTTAACCAGCCACCTTAAGGATGCCATTGTATCTTAGAAATGTAAAATCTTTGAAATGTAAACTACTACCACAAGCCCCCTTAAACTGCTTTCTGAGCGGATATCACAAGCCCCTGATAACTATTTTTTATGGAGTTTCTATTTCCTTTCTGTTTACCCCTTTTTTTTCTTTCTACTGAGATTAAGTAAATGTAACAAGAAAAAAGTATAAAAGCTGTAACCCACAAGAATAAAATTGCTGTGGCTGCCACTGTGGCTCGCTGTGGCTGCTGCTGCGCTGCCCAGCCCTCCAGACTCTACTTTTCTATATTCTTTCTCTTCCGCGCACTCTCTCAGGTTGAACGAGACATCTACGTTAGCGGTCTCGGGGACTCCCGCAGGTCGGTAGTCCCCCGGAAGACGTGCCGGACCCCGACATTTCACTGCTAAAGATGATAAGCCTAGTGAGAGACAGAGAGGGAGATGGACCCAGCTCTCCTGACAAGCCCTTCCCTCCAGAGTGTCTACCCTCCCCCCAGGACTTCCTCTGTGTGCCAGCTCCAGCAAAGGATCTCATTCAGCTCACCCCCCAAAAAGACTTTTCACAGTTCTATAATAAATCTGCAAGGTTTGTTCCAAGGCATTTAGAAGTGGTTGCGGGGAGACTTGAACCCAGTCCTCTCCCGGTGTAGGGGAAGCCAAGAGGGTCTTGAGCTCCAGGTGAGTAGCTTCTCATCGCCCAGGCCTGGCATCCCCTCCCCTACCAAGCCTCCCAGGTCTTCTATCCGAAGCCCTCCGTTTCCACTCCCCCTCCAGCCCCCTCTGCTCTGCCCTCCAACTACGTTTTCTCCCACAGCACTTGCCTTAGACTCCTGGACTCACGAGCACAGAAGTGACTTCCTCCTAGCAGACTTTAGTAGCCATTGCTGGGTTGGGAAAACAATGAGAAAGGGCTCAGCGCGACTGCTTACATAACGCAGGGCGCTCGGCTCCCGGAAGCTTTTTTTTTTTTTTTTTTTTTTTTTTCTTGAGGCTGATCTTCTCTCTTGTTGCCCAGGCTGGAGTGCAATGGGCGATCTCGGCTCACCGCGACCTTTCGCCTCCCGGGTTCAAGCGATTCTCGTGCCTCAGCCTCCGGAATATTTGGGTTTACTTGTAGGCATCCGCCATCAAGTCCGGCTAATTTTGTACTTTTAGTAGAGACTGGGTTTCTCCATGTTGGTCAGGCTGGTCTCCAACTCCCGACCTCAGGTGATCCGCCCGCCTCGACCTCCCAAAGTGCTGGCATTACAGGCGTGAGCCACCGCGCCCCGCCTTGCCCGCAAGCTTTTTGAATTCTACTGCCCGCAGTTCACTGCGAAGACTGGGATCACCCGTCACCCCGCCCTGGGCTATGGAAAATGAAGCGTGTTTACTGATATAGAAACGGAATAACGGCGCTGTGGGCTGGGGAGGGCCGAGCTGCCTGTAGGGTTCTGATTTCCAGCTTTGGGGCGCTCACACCCGCCGCTGTGGAGCAGGAATTCCGAGTCCTGGCTGGAGCGCGATCTGGAATCTGACTCGCTTGAATTCTGACTCGGTGGATTCGGATCCGGGTGAGTAGGGAAATGCACCTCAGCCCCTCCCACGGGCGCCCACGGATTCTTGGATCCGAAAACGCTTCCTGCTGTTCAGTCACCCCAGGAAGGCAGCGCCCGCCTCTGGGCTGTTCTGATGGAAACAGGCTCCGCCGCCCGCAGGAAAACCCACAACTAAGGGGCCAGGAAAAAGCCCCTCAGGATCTCGCCACTTCAGGGAGGATCCTAATTTACACCCTCCATCAAAGACTGCAGTGACCGTCACTGAAATGATACAAGACCCGGGGGCCCAGGTCGCTCGGCTCACAGAATGCGGAGACAGCGCCGCCTCGCGTCCCTTCCCTGACCTGCCCCAGGCGGCCGCGATGACGTTTGTTGGCCTGGAGGCTGGAATACACGGGGGATCAAGAGCAGGGAGTGGAAAAAGGAGGGAAGGATTGGGGGCGGGGCTTGTTGAAAAAAGGAGGGAAGACAGGAAGGAAAGGGGAGAGAAAAAGTAAAGGAGAAATAAAATTTAAAACACATAGTTTTATTATGTCTTTTATTTTTGCTCTTTGTCTAGTTCTACTTACGAACATTTTTACTGTAGCTTTCCTCTCTGAGTCTGTATATACACGGCTATTATTATTTCAGAGCCTGAGAGGGTGAGTGGCAGACAGCATGACCCTCTTCCTCCAGATGTGTCAGGGTGTGTCTCCCGGGCCCAAGAACAGGGTTTTTGTTTTGTTTTGTTTTACATAAGCAAAGTACAAATCTCAAAGAGGGTAATATTTTTATTTTTATTTTTTTTGAGATGGAGTCTCACTCTGTTGTCCAGGCTGGAGTGCAATGGCATGGTCTCGGCTTTCTGCAACCTCCGCCTCCCAGGTACAAGCAATTCTCCTGCCTCACCTCCCGAGTAGCGGGGATTACAGGCTAATTTTAGCCACCACCACACTCGGCTAATTTTTGTATTTTTAGTAGAGATGGGGTTTCACCATATTGGGCAGGCTGGTCTGGAACTCCAGACCTCGTGATCCTTCCGCGTTGGCCTCCCAAAGAGCTGGGATTACAGGTATCAGCCACCGCCCCTGGCCAGAGGATAATATTTTCAAATCATCTTATTGGGACATACTTTGCATACAATAAACTGCATCTATTTAAAATGTTCAACTTGTTGAATTTTAGCTGTTGTGCACACCCACATCTGCACTACCACAGTGAAGATAAAGAACATTTCTTTATTTATTTTTGAGGTAGAGTCTTGGTCTGTTGCCAGGCTGGAATACAGTGGCACAATCTCGGCTCACTGCAACCTCTGCCTTCCTGGTTCCAGTGATTTCCCTGCCTCAGCCACCCAAGTAGCTGGGATTATAAACGCGCATCACCACGCCCGGCTAATTTTTTTTTTTTTTTTTTTGTATTTTAGTAGAGACAGGATTTCACCATGTTGACCTCGTGATCCGCCTGCCTCGGCCTCCCAAAGTGCTGGGATTATAGGCTGAGCCTCTGCCCCGGTAGGTTAAAGAACATTTCAATCTTCTCCCAAAGAATAGCTACACGATAAAATTCTATGCAGTCATTCAAAAGAGTAAGATCCATTTTAATTATCGCCATGAAAAGATGTGCCCAACATACTTTTAACCTTTTCTAAAGGTTAAGGAGGCCGGTGCTGTGGCTCATTCCTGTAATCCCAGCACTTTGGAAGGCCGAAGTGGGTGGATCATTTGAGGTCAGGAGTTCAAGACCAGCCTGGCCAGCATGGTGAAACCCTGTCTCTACTGAAAATACAAAAATTAGCCGGGTGTGGTGGCGGGTTCCTGTAGTCCCAGGTACTCAGGATGCTGAGGCAGGAGAATCTCTTAAAAGCTGGAGGTGAAGGTTGCAGTGAGCTGAGATCATTCAACTGCACTTCAGCTGGGTGCAAATGCTACTAATATCATTTACATGATGTTAATATATATTTTAAGTAGGGAAATCCTGGAAGATTCCTCACCAAAGTTTTCACAGTGACTCCAGAGACTGAGATAACTTTGTGACTTCCATTTTCTTTGACATGTTGGCATTTTATCTTTTAGTATAAACTTAGAGTTGGGTGGGTTGCGGTGGTTCATGCCTATAATCCCAGCTCTTTGGGATTGGAGGGAGGAGGATTGCTTGAGCCCAGGAGTTCCAGGCTGCAATGAGCTATGATTGTGCCATTGCACCCCAGCCTGGGTGACAGGAAGAGACCCTGTCCCCAAAACAGAAAAATAAATAAAAGTTTAAAATAATAAAAACTGTAAATTTGGATTTATGTGAAGGTTAAGGAAAGGAATATTTCAGTTTAAAAATATGAAGCTAAGCCCACACTGAAATACCTAGAGGTTTTGTTTTTTGTTTTGTTTTTTTTTGGTGGAGTCTTGCACTGTTGCCCAGGCTGTAGTGCAGTGGCAGGATCTTGGCTCACTGCAATCTCTGCCTCCTGAGTTCAAGCAATTCTCCTGCCTCAGCCTCCTTCAGCCTCCTGAGTAGCTGGGACTACATGCCTACACCACCATGCCCAGCTAATTTGTTTGTATTTTTAGTAGAGACGGGGTTTCACCATGTTGGCCAGGGTGGTCTTGATCTCCTGACTTAGTGATGTGTCCACCTCAGCCTCCCAAAGTGCTGGGATTACAGGCATGAGCCACCACACCCGGCCAGTTACAGAGTTTTAAAAACCAAAATGTTCAAGCCGCGGTGGCTCAGGTCAAGCATCCTGGCGCTTGAAGAGGTGAGGCGAATGCATTTGAGTCCAGCCCTGGGTAGCATAGAGAGCGCTCTTCCATTGAAAAAAAAAAATTAAAAAAACAAAACACACATGTTCATTAAAGCCCAGCATCAGAAACTTTGTTTCAAGAGGATCCTTTAAATTTTCCTGGCATCGAATCTTTCTTAAAGTGCCTTTGAAAGAGATATTTTCAGTGGAATGGAGAGATATATCACAATATTTACAAAAGGGGTTGGTGGTAATAAAAGGAAAATGCAAATCGGGTGGGGACAACAGGGGACCCTGTTCCATTTATTCTCAAAGCACGTTTGAAACGTACATTGCCATAGAGTCCTTGGGTGGAGACAAAGTCGAGGCAGATCTTGTTCCTGGAGTATTGATTTGATTTTGCAAAGGGTCAAAGGCCTTTGGAAATCAGGCTGACTTTCAGATTTAAAGTCTCAAGGAAGTTCGTTCTGGCAGTGAGCCTGTAAGAAGCCAGCCCATGTGGACGGTGCTGTCTCTGCTTCCACCTAGTGGCAGTGGCTGGAAGGACAGGGCACAGGGATACTGCATGGGTGGGTCTGACGCCAAGGTGAGAACACCTTTGCAAAATCATCATTAAGGAAATGGTGACAGTGAGGCCGGGTGTGGTGGCTCACGCTTGTAATCCAAACGCTTTGGAGGCCAAGGCGGGCGGATCACCTGAGGTCGGGAGTTCAAGACCAGTCTGACCAGCATGGTGAAACGCCTTCTTAAAAAAAAAAAAGTAATAAAAAAAAGGAAATGATGACAGTAAAAGATATGAAACCTGACTGACCCCATCTTGCTTCTAACCTCTAAGCTGCCCTTGTTAATTTGTGGGCATAGGCCTATCAGCCTTGGGAAGGAATTTATAGCTTTAAGGGAAACTTTTTTTTTTTTTGAGACGGAGTTTCGCTCTTGTCCTCCAGGCTGAAGTGCAATGGTGCAATCTCAGCTCTCGGTAACCTTCGCCTCCTGGGTTCAAGCGATTCTCCTGCCTCGTTCCCCCTCCCCAGCAGCAGGAATTACAGGCATGTGCCACCAAGCCTGGCTAATTTTATACTTTTAGTAGACAGGGAGTTTCTCCATATTGGTCAGGCGGGTCTCGAACTCTTGATCTCAGGTGATCTGCCCGCCTTGGCCTCTCAAAGTGCTGAGATTACAGGCGTGAGCCACTGTGCCCAGCGGGAAACTGTTCTTGTAAAACAGATGAAAGACCACCAGCCATTAAGTTAGATGAGAGAGGCTGGAATTCTAAATATTACCAGCCATTATTTCGGATATCATAAATTTTGCAACTTCCCTAGTTACTCTTGAAGGTAACATTACTATTGTGAACCTCAGATGGGCCTTTTAAGATGTCTTATAAGGTTTTTGCATTTCTAACAACTGGAGGGCCCCATCTGGACCTGCCACCCAGTTCTGTGGCCCCCACGCAGGAACTGAGGTAGCTTAAGAGAATAGCCTCCACTCACTATTATTTCATACCGGAGCCAACCAATCAGCACTCCAGATTCACTGGCCCTCCTATCCACCAAATTATTCTTAAAAACTGATCAGAGTTTTCCGGGAGACTGATTTGAGTAATAATAAAACTCTGGCCTGCACAGCCGGCTCTGCATGAATTACTCTTTCTCTGTGGCAATTCCCCTGCCTTGATAAATCGGCTTTGTCTAGGCAGCCGGCAAGGTGAACCCATTGGGCGGTTACAGCGGGAGTCCAGGCCAGTGTGCAGGATGTGCTTTGCTGTAGCGGGGTCAGGGCAGCAGAGGGGAGGCGAGGACACTCAGGGAATGAATGGCAGAGGAAGAAGGAGCAAAGGGAGGACTCAAAACCTCCAGATCTCTCCTTCCCTCCCTCCCTGTTAGGGTTGAGGGGACCAGCGTGGTCCCAGGTGGGGCGGCCCGTGGGGTGCAGAAAACACCCTGGTTGCAAAGGGGTGTCAAGTGCCCCACACAAGGGCCCGGCTCTGAGCTGCTACTGATGAGTTCAAACTTGGAGAAGACTCAGACATGTTCTTTGCAAAGTAGACTTGTTAGCTCACACTCTAGCAGGTTTCTCAAATCCATCCTGATGAAGCACGGAAACCAAGAGCCAAATTCTACCTGTGACTTTCTGACAGCTGGAAGGTCCTCCCCCTCCCCATTCCTCATGTGCTCCCTTGTCCTGCCCCCTCGCTTTGTCTCCACTTCCTCATCCTTTTTCCTCTCTGGTCCCTGCTCCTGAGTACCTCCGGCTCCAGAACACTTTCTGCTCTTGAAGTACAGACTCCTCACCTCCAGGA